GAAGATCCTCCGCTAAGCAGACTGCTTATCTTGTTAATTTTTGAAACAGCTTGTTAACTAACTTTGTAAAATTTTTTCGAAAAAGCTCTTTGGCGGTTGTAAAAGTAAAATTTAATGCAAAACATAAGCCTTAGCATCAATTCATCAAGGACAGACCAGGCATCGTACTATCAACAAGTCAGTCGGAATTAATCTAACTTGACAGCAACTGTCCTCTGAGAACTTCAAAACTCAAATTGTTACTGACTACATGAAGTTTTTTAATATGTTTGATAAGTCGCATGAGCTCAGCGCACATATGCTATGCAGATCGTTCTGATGAAGGCCAGTTGTTGAAATGTATGAGACATCATAACTTCAACTTAAAAGGACTTTGATGGCTACTTGCTTATAGTTCCAAAGCTCTTTTTGCTCCACTCTCTAAACTCCTCTTACGTTACCATTTTTGCCAATTTCCGGCAAATATAATCAGCATTTTCTGATATATCTGTGTAAGTATTTCTTTCCTTACATTAATTTATCTATTCTACTGAGTCGGCACTTGCAAATACTTGTCACATCCATATTTTGACATAAGCGGATAGCGTGACATTTTATTTGGCCTCGTCCAGATCTCTTTACATGTCAGCTTATCTTTATCTGTTTTTATGATACCGAGACGATCAAACATTGCAAGAGTCATTCTTCGTGCCACCTATGCCATGTCTATTTTGTCAATACTTTATCTTGTCATTCTCTATCAGACTCATTCTGCCTGACTTATCAATATCGTCTCTTTCAGTACTTCCAAGTCCCGACTCATTCATGGCAAGCACCGTTAGCTGGCACAAGGTCCGACTGTCTTGGCAGCCGCCAAGTGCCGTCGCCCGGAGTGCCACATCACTCTCTGGTAGACCAGTCTTTGAGGCTCCCGGTCTTGTGTCTGGCTTGCCTGGCGAAGGTAACATTGTTTACTACCGTCTTCGGTTCGCCGCTCTGCCGTCCATCACTGAAAAGGGGTCTTTCGCTGCCACCGACCCGAGGGCTGATGCCGGCGGTGACTCGAATATGCCGAGGCGACGTCAGCCCGTAAGCATGCTGATGCCGGTCCCAGCGAGCCGGTTCACTGAGAGTCGCATTGAGCCGAGTCACACGAGTGTCCTAATAGCCAACTTGTCGCAGGCCACTGTTTATCACTTTCGGCTTGCTGCGGTCACTTTAGCCGGCGTCGGTCTGGAAGCCATTGCGGAGGCAAGGACGAAAGAGTTTGGTACGTCGATTTGTCTCGATAGAACCCCAATCTCACCAGTACTCTGACCATGAGCATTGCAATTGAAGCAGCATTATCTGGGCAGTTTTAATAAATAATAACAATTTTGATCATAGTCAAGATGATCACCAAAAGGGTCACTCATATCCTTTTTAAATAATTGTCAGAAATTCGCAACTATAAATTGTCTCTCTCCATCACTAAATACACTTGAAGCGACACACTATTGGGCGGAATTGGAAGAGACGAGAACAATATGCTATGAATGGGTACATTTGACATATCAAGTGGGGTTGAAATATATAAAGTGCAGCACTAGAAGGTAGGACAAAAATAAGGGGCGAGGAGTGATGCAAGAACGGTTGAACAGAAAATTGATCAAGGGAATTGTCTTCCTTTGTCATTGGTACGTTGTAACTCTGTGCTGAAGATGGCGCCTCTCACTGACGGTGACAGCTAAACGTCTGGGAATGTACCATGTCAACGGTCCAATGCTGGAAATCAGGAATACTATGGCAGAAAACTCAGGACTAGCTACGTTCCACAAGGTCTCCCCGCTGCCCCAAACAAGTTACTGAAACTAGGTCGAACCAACATTAAACTACTATTTCTTGAGTATATTTATCCCCTAGGTTTGGTTGAAAATAACATTAGATTAATAGAGAATAACTTTTTGAATGGTGAATACGTAAGAATAAATAAGAAGACCTTTTCCAATGTTTTCTCTTTGTCTTCGTGTATTCTCTCTAGAAGGATAGGCGAATTAGCTAGTAACTGGGGAATAAAAACGGTTTTCAGAAAAACAAAGACAGTGTCGCCAACTATGCTCATTTTTACTGAAAAGGTTGGTCCAGCATACGAATCGGGTTGCTATAACATGATGTGTTCATGTGTTCGCTTTTATATTGGAGAGACATGTCCCATTCGACTAAGGTTGTCTGAGCACAAAAGCACCCTTAAAAGCTGTTGGTGTCAAGACTTTAATTTCGTATGGAAGTGCATGGTGAAGAGATTTGTAGGTGAATTTTACCTGTAGACTCCAGCTGATTGGTGTTGTACTTCAGCCGTTCGTACTTACTACGACGTTCAGGTTGATGCAGTCCACGAGACATTCTCCATCGTTTCGGGCTAAAACGGGCTGAGTTTTCGTCCGTCGTGGAATGAGCATCGTCAGAGCTGGGCTTCATTCTATAAAAGCTTCAAGTTAACACTTCTTCGCCCGAAACTTTGGATGATTTCTCGTTGACTACATCTCAGAAGATTCTTAGAGACCCATATTTTCTTCTTATATACAAACTTTTGCGTTCTGAAATCAGAGCTGGCTGAACACTAGCATAAAATGTACTTTAGATTGAGTGATCTCAAACTTGTCGTTTTGCTGATTATGGTATAACTGCAGCTATGCGTAAAACTAGCAAAGCCATTAAATTCAACCGATTAGACAATAGATGGAATGTAATGAATACCAGGAATTTAAATAAAAACTTATATACGAAGATCAAGATGTTATGGCCTTTATTTTGCTCGCTGTCTCATTCCGATTTATAGATGTGGTCTGATCTCGTTTTCACAATTTGGTCTTGTCGTTTAGACATAGTTGGACGCACCTTGTCCGAAGTTCTCTGCTATAGCAGAGTTCGCATGTTGCGCCTCCGAAGATATATATATATATATATATCTTCATCACGGACAGATATTTGTATAAAAATATTTCTATAATTACTGGGTGATTCTAATCATAACAAATAAATCAATAAATGCACTTTTAATATATTGCTTATTCTGCATTTTGATGTATACACTAGAGATTGAATCTTCAACAGCTATCAAAATATTACCATTTTTACTGTGATAAATGATAAATTTATATATTTTTACCATTCTTCCCTATGCAACATCATCATCTCTCTAGTAATTCATTTAAATTATTTTCATTCTTGACTCCTCTCTTTCTCTCTCTATCTCTTAATCCATCAGTATGCTTTTTTCAATACCCATCTTTTATCATATTTTTCTGTAATGCTTTAAAAAATTTACTCTTAAAAATAATGATTACTTTAGTCTTCCTACGTCGATTCTCATGTTCTCGCTCGTTTCCTAACTTCTATTGCCCTACATGCAAATCAAACTAATTCATACCTCATTTTAGTCCCGGGTTCTCCCCAAAATCTCACTGTCATAGTCACTGGATCTGATCAATTGACGGTAACTTGGCTACCACCTGGTGACCTTGATGAGATGCCAGTCAAGCTAACTCAGGGGATTCACATCGCCTACTATGAAGTGAAGTGGAGGGCAACTGACGATCAGGTTTGTCGCTGAAAAGTTTGAACTATCTATTTCATGTAAATGCTATGCTAATATTGGGTATTGTCCAACTCCTAATGACTACTGATGAGTGGTGTGCCCGTTGATCGTAAATTTTATATCAACCGGCACTTAGAGCCTGGTGGTACCATTCTGCCTGGAAAATTTTCTTATTGGTCATTATTTCTCCCCATCCCCTATTCATTTCCCTATAAGTTCGCTATTATAATGCAGCATTGATGCTTCATGTAGACAGATAGGCAGTTGCTTCATAATGCGATTTCTTGGCAAAGCATTTGTTTTGGCTCCGGATATTTTCGGCTATTTTGCTTGTAGTCATGCCACATATTTTTCAGTGATGTTTTAATAGACCATCAAGAGGCTTTTGATTTTATCATACAGCAATACAATTATAGACCGTCACTATATCCGGCTTACTTATTGAACTGGCCTCGCAAATTGATGCATAGTACAGTCCACGAAGCCAAGGTTTTATTCAGTGTAAAGATTGAAGCGACGGCATCCATAATGCAGAAAGTCTTACGTTTAGAGTCCAGACACGAGGACTGACTGGTGCATTAAGTGTCTTTTTCAGAGCCGAGCTATTCGAGGTTAAATCAGGGCAAGCTTGTACGTAAAAACTTGTCTTGAGTAACGACGCTCTAATATGACGTGGAAGTTAAGACGTATTACATCTCCAATCGGCCTTAAACTCAATTTTTGCTGATGCACGCGAGTCTGACCATATGAATAGGCTATTGCTATCTACTTTTATTTTATGAGATGTATTCACCCTATTTCATGTAAGTTGATGAAGGACTGGTAGTAGAATTTTCCCACAATTATATGAGTAGAGCTGACGTTTCCATTGAATTTCACATAGCCTTGCTTTCTCAAAAGTTGTTCTCATCCAGGCACCAGTGGGCTGCAGTTTCGACCTCGCATCGGTCTTATCAACACCCTCAGCGGTGGATGAGAACAACTTTTGGGAAAGCAAGGCAATGTGAAATTCAATGGAAACGTCAGCTCTATTCATATCATTGTAGGAAAATTCTACTACTAGTCCTTCATCACCTAAGACGAAAAAGGGTAAATACATCTCATATTACTCATTGACTGGTAGTCTCGAAACTCTACTCTAATACTTTTATTTTATTAGGGCCTTAGTTACATATTTAGAACTAATCTTAAATTTCCACCAATATCATGCTTCAAACGCTCATTTATCGAGCTAATGAAAGAATTTACAGCTGATAAAATGCAAGGAAGAGGTGA